TCGGTTGCTGTGTCTAAGGTGTTGTAATGAATAGCAAAGGTTGGTGCTTGGTGGGTGCGAGATCAAATCCAGCCGCAACAAGTCTAGCAAGCACATTTTGCCCAAACCCGTAGCCCCCAACCAGCTAGAGCAAAATACCACAACCACCTACACAATCAACAGTGCGCCCCATCTTCAGTGGCCCTAAGTAGTTCGCTACGCTGCCCACCAGCTGGACCTCCAGCCGTGGGTGTCGCGGCCAGAGGCTTCATCTGGTGTTGGGTCAGCCTTTCGTGTCTGGGGCTGCCTTGTGCTTGTCCGCGATACATTTGCGGACAAGCTCTCGGCTCGTGCCATCCCCTGTATCTTCCTTGGTTTCCAGGTGGACTCTCCCGACAACGCCTTTTACCATCCGCCCCTCCACCAGTTCCTCGACTCCCGTGACACACGGTTTGACGAGCCTGTGTCCTACTGCGCTCGCTACCCGTGTCAAGGTTTCCCGGTTCCCCCCCCTCCCCTTTTCCTTGCACCCTCTCCTCCTCCTGCTCCCGCTCCTCCGGTACCCCACCCCCCTGGTCATGCCCCGTCAGGTGTGTCTCACGCTACCCCTCTACCCTCGGTTGCGTGTCAGGTAGCGTCCTCCTCATAGTCCCCTCAGCAGCCTTTGGCACTTCCGCGCCATGTTACTGTGGACTCAGTGGGTGTTGGAGCTGGAGGTGCTGCCACTGGATGTACTCGTTTTGGGGGTGCACTGTTGAGGGGTGCCAGATCTGGAGGTGCTGGCACTGGAGGTGCTAATCCTGAGGGTGCTGGAGTTGGAGGTGCTGGCGCTGGAGGTGCTAGTTCTGGGGGTGCTGGGGTAGGAGGTACTGGCACTTGAGGTGCTAGTTCTGAGGAGACTAGAGCTGGAGGCACTACTACTACGCCTCCTCATAGCCACGACACACGTCTCCAGGGGCTCGCTGACGTGAGCGTGAGGAGGAGGAGCGGTTGGAGTAGGAGAGGCAGGACTTGCGGCAGTTGGACCTACAGGAGCAGCAGGAGCAGCAGCAGCAGCAGTATTAGCAGCAGAAGCAGCAGCAGCAGCAGACTTTGCTGTTCTCGCCTCTCTTGTCACCAAACCTCGTGCCGCTCCGTCGTCTGTCTCGACTCTTACTGCCGCTGTCGCTGACTTTGCTTCCACCCGTTGCCTTGACTTAGCCACGTGTGTAGTGGCTGCTCCGCCTGCCCGTCCTCCGTCCGCCGGGGGTGAGTTTGCCCTTGGCTGTGACGTCCTAGAGGACGGGCAGTTTGAGCTGGAGTTCTTGGCAGCCGCTTCTCCCTCTCTCTGTGCTATGCTGCTTTCCCCTAAGGGAGACCCCGACGTCCTTGACATTCCGACTCCTCGCACGTACCGTGAGGTAGTGTCAGGGGAGCAGACCTCTTAGTGGAAAGCGGATATGGACTCAGAGTTAGCGTCTTGGAGATCCACAAGCACCTATGTCGACGCAGTTCCCCCTCCCAGGGCGAACGTTGTCGATGGCATATGGCCCTTCAAGGTGAAGCGGCCGCCTGGATCACCGCCTATGTTCAAGGCGCGCTACGTGGCTAGGGGTTCCAGTCAGATTTAGGGAGTTGACTTCTTCCAGACCTTCGCCCTGACCCCGAAGATGACTATTCTTTGGGTGTTATTGCACGTAGCAACACAGCGGGACTACGAGCTGCACTTCCTCGACTTCTCCACTGCGTTTCTCCAGGGCCGCCTACACAAGGAGATCTGGATGCGCCGTCCTCCTAGCTTCGCTGACACCTTCCCATTTGGGACCCAGTGGAGCCTGAGGGGACCAGTCTACGTCTCCGCCAGTCGCCCCGTGAATGGCATGACACTCTTCGATCCACGCTTCGTGAACTTGGGTTTTGTCCTTCTTCTGCCGACCCGTCGTTGTTTGTTCGTGCTGGTTCCACTCATTTCTTTATACTTGTCTACGTCGACGACTTGGTCTTCGCTACAGCAGACAGGGCAGCTCTAGCTGAGGTGAAGTCTAAACTGCAGAAGAGACACATGTGCACTGACCATTTGAACTGCAGCGCTACCTTGGCCTGCAGATCACCACGGACAGAGCTGCTCGCACCATCACACTGACGCAGTCATACATGGGGCAGCAGGTCCTTCGGCGGTTCGAGTTTCAGTTCTCCACCACCCAGCCCACTCCTCTTGCTGTTGACCACACACTCACTGGCCCCTTTCCCGATGAGCCCTTTGAGTCTAGTGGTCCCTACGTATAGCTTGTGAGCTGTCTCATGTACCTGGTGTCTTGTACTCGGTCGGACCTCGCCTTTCCTCTCATTGTCCTCTCTCGCTTTGTTGCAACTGGGAGACAATGTACTGGTCACTGATTGTGAGGGTGGTGAAGTACCTAGCGACTACATCAGGCATGGGGCTTGTGCTTGGAGAGACTCAGATAGTTGAGCTGACCGGTCACTGCGACTCTCCTACACTTACGACATGGAGACTCAGCGCTCGACTCAGGGTTACTACTTCAGCTTGGGTGCTCGTGCTGTGTCGTGGAGGTCTAAACGGTCGTTGTCTGTGGCGTCGTCCAGTGCAGAGGCAGAGATCTACGCTGGTGCCATGGCGGCACAGGAGCTTCGCTGGTTGACCTTCTTGCTCACCGACCTTGATGAGCACCCTCGCTCGGCACCGACCTTGTCCGCGGACAACAGGGCCATGATCCTCCTGTGTCAAGAGCCTCGACTGAAAATTAGAGTGAAGCACATTGACACGAGGTACTTTCTCCTGCGAGAGTTGCAGCGACGCGGCCAGGCACGCTGTGGTCTCATAGGCCAACACTACCGACGTCTTCACCAAGGCCTTGGCACCTAGTGACCACCATATGTTTTGTGTGCAGCTAGGGCTTGTTGAGGTTTTTTTTTCGGTTACGGTAGTCTTGCTGTTTGCTCTGCTTGTTTTGCTTTGCTATATGTCCTAGTGAACTCTTGAACTGGCCTTGTGGCCGCTTGTTTGTGTTCAGGGTGTGTGGTGACTTTGAGCGCCACCCTGAGCCTTGTTTTGTTGCTTGCTCTTGACTGGTCTTGTGACCATCTGCTGTCACTTGTTTGTCTCCTTGATGCCCCTCACTTAGCCTATGGGAGTGTGTCAAACTATAATAACTCTTGTAGGTTGTAGTGAGGTGCCTTCTAGGGGGTGTGGTTGTTAGGGTTGCATATTTGTATCCCATCCGTTTCTATTCCAATTATTTTGTTGCGTACTTCCTGAGACCAAATATGTAGTCAGATCTTGTAACCGATACAGTTAAGCTTGACATTAATGGTGATGAAGCACTTGAAGGAGCCATGGCGGAGAGCGTGAGTTTCTTGAGTTGCTTAGCTTTCACAAGCATAGCTATCTAGCTTCATCTATCCAGCATAGCTCGAGAGCTATTCGTTAATCTAATCGTATTCCGAAATGTTATCTCTAGAATCATGCTCATCTCGTTGATTTAGTAAAACGAATTCTTATTTCTTACTGCAGGCATACGTTAGCTTGGGTACGCCGCGTCAGCTGGTTCGCCCAACAATTTCGCCCCGAACCACTTCCAAGTCGCCTCTGCACCTTTCGCCATTTTCCTAGCCTCGTTACCCCGAGGTCCTCGCCTATCTTGGTTTTGTCTATGTGGTGGTTGCGGTCTGCAGCCTACGACAGATTGTAGTTATCTTGGCAAGGTGGTTTTTTAGAATTCCCAAAAAATACTCACAGCTAGCGGGCGAAGTCACCACTGCCCGGCAGTGGAGGTGGTGCAGCGGTAGGGCCGACGCGTCATGCTAAGGGTATGATTCTGGCGAGGTATGATGCTGGCGAAGCGTCATGCTGGCGAAGCGAGACGGGCCACGGCAGAGCTTGACGTTGGGGTAGGAGATTGGGGTCAGGGACGGGTAAAGAAGGAGTAAAGAGAAGGAGAAAAGGGAGGGGGTAGGGGGTACGGGTATAGGGAGGTGGTAAGAGGAACGAGAATGGTAAAGGGGAAAGGAATGGCTTAACGGGAAGAGAGAGGGGAGGGGGAAAAAGCAAGCATAAAGGCAGTGATACGGGGAGGGGGAGTGGGTAACGGAGGAGGAGGTGTCAATGAAAAAGGAATGCGTAAGGGGAACTAGAGGGGGTAAGGGAAGTTTTTAAGATGTTCCTGAGATGGTGCCTTGGCAAGCAGTTGTGCAAGTAGGGGCAAGAGGGCATGGGAACAGCAAGTAGGAGCCGAGCGTAGTGGGAGGGGTCAAGGACGAGGGGAGGTTGGAAAGGAAGGATTTGGGCATGGGTGGGAAGGGAGCACTGCAGGGTGTTTGGGAGAATTGACTCTCACACACACATTCCCACCCCACATCGACTGCTCACAGCCCCCCACTTATCGTGACGTCGTCTATCACACATAGCCTCTTAAACACATCACCTTCACAACCCCTCAACCCCCCTTCTTCCAACCCCCCTTCATCCCCCTTTCGCCCCCCCTTCACCAATCTCCCGAGGCAATCTCACACGCGTCTCCACCCCCTTCCCTTCAACCCCTTTTCCGTCACCACCCCTTCAACCCCTTTGAGCCCCATTTACCAGTCTCCAGAGAGAATCTCACATGCGTCTCCACCCCTCGGAGCCTCTCCACCCCTCGGAGCGTCTCCACCCCTCGGAGCGTCTCCACCCCTCGGAGCGTCTCATCTTGGCGGCTTCAAGCTGGTCAATTGCAAAGAGGGCGGAACGTGACCTCCCTTGGTGGGCGGATGTGAAGCGCGGAGGGGGAAGGAAGGAGGGTGGATGGGAAGGGCGGAGGGGGAAGGGAGATTTCCTTGAGCGCCTGCCGCTCCTCCTGCGCAACCATTAAGGCAGGGCAGTGAACATGGGGTTGCCACGGCAAGGCAAGGTGCACAGCGCACGGTACAACGACTCATCAGTGGTGTTTGGTGTTTGAGGGCAAGAGGTTGGTAGCACGTGGCACGATGCGATGGCTCAACAGTGATGTTTGGGGTTTTCTGCTTGGTTGCAAGTGGTCAAGTCAATGCCTCCCCTGCTGCATGCTTCGATGCTTTTCCCCACGCTGCTTTATTGCCCTCTCTTCTCTTCCCCTCCCTTCTCCTCCCCTCCCTCCCCTCTCCTCCCTTCTCTCGCCCTCCTATGTCCTCCCCCGTTTGCCCCTTCGCCCCCCCAATTTCTCCTTCCTTTGTCCTCCCTCTCGCCCAAACACTCGATTCCCTTTCATCTGCCTCCCATGCACCTGCGTCCCACCCCCCCGCCTCGCATCCACCTGCCTCACGTCCACTCTTTGCACCTCCTCCTGCGCCTCTCCCCTGCATTCTGCGTTCACCTCTCCAGTCGACCTTCTGTCCCCCCCCTTGTCCTCCTGCCAGCCCACACTTTCCTGATCCCACCCTCCCCTCATCGCTCTCGAACTCCCTCCCCTCTCCCCTCTCTGAACCCTCCCTCATTTCTCCCCTCCCACCCCAACTCTCGGTCCTCCTGCACGCCACTCATGTTCCACCCATCCCGTGCCTCTATACCTCCCACCATTCCCATAGCCCCCAATTCCCCCATGCCTCAAACCTTCACCATGGGCCAACCCATACATACCTCCCACGTTGCTGGGTTCACCCACACCCACCCCCCCCCCCCTCCCCTCTTCGCTGCGGCCCCCTTCGTTCCCCCACTTGCGCCCCTTTACCCGCTCCCCTCCGCAGTCCCCCACGCGGGCCCCCATCAGCCCTTCCTTGCGCCCCTGGCGTGAACTCTCCCCCCTTCCCTCTCTCCCGCCCTTCCCCTCCCCTCCTCCGCCATCCTCCGCTCCTTGATCCCCCTTCTCCCATCCCTTCCCACGTTTCTGCTAAACCCAAACCGCATGCGGCCATGTTCCCCCTTTCCCCTCCCCTCCCTGCGCCTCCCCTTCCCGCTCCACCTATCCTTCTCAGTCCACGCGGCGGCCCGTCACTACTGCCCCGTCTGCGCACCCTCGCACACTGGCGCGCACACCGATTTGCACGGGCTCCTAAAGAGGCGGAGGAATGGGCTCGCGCGTAGCGGTGGTGGCGCTGGCGCGGGAGGGGAAATGATCCAAGCGGAGCGCAACTGGGGCGGGCTTCCACCGCCTCTTCACGCCGCCGCTGCCGCCGCCGCTTCAGCCTTTGCTGTTCGCATCGATGTTGCTGTTTCCGCCGCTACCGCAGCCGACTGTCCTGCCTGTGAGCGGTGCTTGCCCCACGCGCCATTGCCGCTGCTCTTCGTGCCTATGATGTCGCCGTTCTCCCCCATCACGAATTAGAATGTATCGCTCTCGCCGCCCACTGTCCCTCGCTCGTCGCCTAATGTCACTCGCTCGTCACCTACTGTCACTAGTTTGTCGCCTACTGTCCCTCGCCGCCTAATGTCCCTCGCTGTCACTCGCTCGTCGCCTACTGTCACTCGCTTGTCGCCTACCGTCACTTGCTCGTCGCCTACTGTCGTTCGCTCGTCGCCTACTATCTACTTTTTCTCCATCGACTATCGCAGTGTGTCGCTGTCCGTCGCTCTCTCGTGGCCTGTCTGTCACTTTGACGCGATAGCTATCGGATTGGACCACGTGTCGTACCACCACTGCCCTCCCAGTTATCGATTCCTAAGTGCGGGTCCTCCCGCGACTCGAGCCAAGCGAAATGGTGGACTGACGCAGTTGTTCCTAATTTGAATATATGATTCGTTATGAGTGCGAGTGTTTCACAAATGAACTGACATGCGCTAAAACTAGAAATCTAAAACGCTACTGAATGCCCAATGAATGTTCAAAACTAGAATTTATAGGCAGAGTCAAGCTAGGCGAGGACCTCGGGGTAACCAGGTTCGGCAAAAGGTGCGGTGGCGACTCGGATGTGGTTCGGGGCGAGCTTTTAGGCCGAGCCAGCTGACGTGAGCGCCTCGGAACATCCTTGCTAGAGTTATCCTACATAAACATATAACAATAATTTATCAATCTTACATATAACATAATACCAGGTTCTTTTTAGGCGAAAGAGCATTCTCGTCTGCTTGATTAATCGATATCCGGAAGGCGAGACACCATGAGACCGCCATGGATATTTTCGCGCAGCTTCAAACCTAGATCCCGTGAAGGTTCCATGTCAGTTGCATCACAAAAACCCTATGCCAAGTTTGGACGAATTTTGATTTCGATTGTCTTCGCGTAAAAAAATCCGGAGCCAATTTGGACCGACGGTTGGAGTCATTTGATAGGAGCTCCGAGACACATCTCGTGACAAGGTTTGGCTCGGTTCAAGTTCCAATTTGGCACGCGAGTTTTTCCGTATGACATTCGGTCGCAATCCGTTTTGTTGCAAATTCGTGACCAAATTATTCAAAACTAAATTCTGCTTTTGTTCATTTTGGATATTGAGGATTTCAAAATTGCATTTATTATTGCGGTTTACAAGAACCATTATTCAGCATTCTAGCAACAAGCAATCTTAGCACCAGGTCAAATAGCCTACGCACTGGCGGGCCTTGAAAGCGCCCGGTGGGCAAGGACGACATCTCCAAGGTCGCCGTCGTCGATGAGGAACTTGTTCGGAAAGACGAACGCACCCATAGCCGGATCGTGGGGGATCCTCCGCTCCACGACAGCAAAATGGATCATCTGTTTGACCTTTTTGCACCACTCCTGGTAGTCTGGCCTGTTCTGCTCCGGCTGGCTACTGATTCGCTTGCGACGCTTATCCTGCAGAAGGGGCCATTCGATCTGCAATGTGGTGTAGGGTTGGGTGGATGGTTTATGAGGAGGGTAGGTTACGGGTAAATGAGGCAACTGAAAGCGGTGATGCAGTCGTCACTATCTACGTAACTGCAAAGGCCTAATCGACCAGGGTTTTAGCTGAAGTACAGGCAAGGGGTTAAGGGGATGAGGCATGGGGGTACAAACACATATCTACATCCTTACCGAAAACAGGCCCCATGCCACCATGCGGCTCTTGAACTTGGTGAACACCGCCCCGCCCCTCTTGAAGGAGAGCTTGAACGCATAAGCGAACAAGGGGTTGCTGAAGGGTGTCCCGGTGGCCTTGTCAAAGTGCCAGTTGAGGGCCCACTGTTCTGCTTATTGGCACGGAGGGTATGGGTTGGAAAGGGTTTTGTAGAGAAATCAAATGGGGGGATGAGAGTCAGGGTGAGCCACATCGCACGGTGATATGTAGCTGCCAAGGGGCATATGGTAGGGCATATTGTGTTTTCGAGTTGCACTGCACATACCATCTCTGTACTCGGCTAGGAGTTGATCGTCGTCGAACCAGGTCGTTGGGTGTAGCTCAGTGGGCAGGCTATCCACGAGATGGCTGTAATCGGCAAGGCCCATGCCGGTGTATGCTGCTGGCCTGAGGGTGGAGTTGATAGTTGACCTTGTTGAGGACAGCTGGTGGTTGAAGACTCCCATGGTTGACTTGTCATTGTGCAACCACAGCAGCTTCATTGCCTCGAGCCCTTCTGCAGACAAGTGGACAGAGAACGCTTCGAACACTTCCTCCGGTGCAGGGTAGTACTGTATTTTCTCCGGCGGGTTCAGAAACATGAGCTGAGAGCACACTAAGTAGGCTTTGTTCTGCGCAGGGGTGTAAGGTATACAACACGACATGGAAGAGAGAAACCAGCAGTTATGAGGGTGGCCGCGTGACCATGGGATGGTGACTAGCAACACTGTTTGAACTTGCCACGTCACACCCTGCGCCATCCGACACGTCCACCAACAACCCGGCCCACTTGCCACGTCACACCCCCCTACCACAAGCCACGTCACCCCCCACCCACCCGACACGCCTCGCTTCGTCATGCGCAGTGGTCACGTGTACCATTTCTAACCGCCACGTCATCCCCAACCCTCACCTTCCGCCACGTCACACCCACCTGCATCCGCCACGTCATCCCCAACCCTCACCTTCCGCCACGTCACACCCTCCTTGTCCGCCACGTCCACCAACCAGCCCCACGTGCCACGTCACACCCTCCTGCATCCGCCACGTCCACCAACAACCAGGCCCACGTGCCACGTCACACCCTCCCACCCCATGCCACGTCACCCCCCACCCACCTAACACGCGTCGCCTCGTCACGCGCCGCTCCCGTGTACCATTCCAAACCGCCACGTCAGCCCCAACCCTCACATTCTGCCACGTCACACCCTTTTGCATCCGCCAACAACCCGCCCTACTTGCCACGTCACACCCCCCACCAAGAGCCACGTCACCCCCCACCCACCTGAGACGCCTCGCTTCGTCATGCGCCGCTCACGTGTACCCTTTTAGGGTGCCACGTCATCCCCAACCCTCACCTTCCGCCACGTCACACCCACCTGCATCTGTCACGTCATCCCCCACCCTCACCTTCCGCCACGTCACACCCTCCTGCATCCGCCACGTCCACCAACCAGCCCCACGTGCCACGTCACACCCTCCTTGTCCGCCACGTCCACCAACCAGCCCCACGTGCCACGTCACACCCTCCTGCATCCGCCACGTCCACCAACAACCAGCCCCACGTGCCACGTCACACCCTCCCACCCCATGCCACGTCACCCCCCACCCACCTGATACGCGTCGCCTCGTCACGCGCCGCTCCCGTGTTCCCTTCGAAACCGCCACGTCAGCCCCAACCCCGCCCTTGTTGCCACGTCAACCCCAACCCTCCCCATGTGGCCCGCCACATACCGGGAATGGGTTTGTCTCCTGCAACACTAGCACTCGTGCCTTGTCCACGGCGCTCATCGGCGGCGGGGTACCAGCCATAGGCAGGGCTGCCGACCCGCCGGCATAGCTGGCAGGTACTCCACGACGCAGGCCGAGCTGTGCAAACATGGCGTACATCTCAGACCGCAGCGCCTGGAACTCCTCCCGTGTAACAAACTGCTCGTGCTCCGCACTTTCACCTAGGGCACCCATGAGCGGAGGAAAAGGGTGTGAAGAATCCCCCCTCTGGCCAAGGGGATCAACGTCTTCTGCAGCAGTCCCGTGTGCCCTCACACTATCACGCTGGCGGGAAAAGGGGAGCTCAGGGAAGGGATTGGCATAACTGCCTGCCTGATGCCCGCGCGAAGGATCGGCGAGAGGGGAGACCGCCCTGCCCCGGACAGGAGAAGCGTGGAGTTGCCGAAATTGGTACGAGGGTGAGGCGAGTGGGGACTGCGTGACGGGGGCGGGTGGAGGGGATTCGGATTCCTCTCCTCTTGGCGCGCCTGGTGCCGTCGCAGCGACTTTGCTCGGGCCGGCCCATGGCGTGTAGTACCTTGGTGCTCCGGAGGAGAGCGGTGTAACACTCGCTCTTCCGGCAGCCTTCGTTAGATGCATTCGTTGCACGCTTACGGGCGGCCCAATGCCTGTAACGCGAGGGGCTGAGATGTAGAGGGAGCCGGAAAAATAATTTAGAGTCGATCGGTTTCAAGGCGGGGCCAGACATGCATGCATATTCAGAAAGGTTTGAATCTAGATCGGGTTCAGGGTTGTACTGGTTTGAGACAAGAGGGTTTACCTTGCTTGGCAGATTCGTCGACCTTCTCCTTCCCTGCATGGGAGAAACAATGTGAAAAAAGGGTGTTTTTTGGCACGGTTTAGCAGATGGTTCAACACGTCACGCCAGTTTTATTGGACACAATGCTCACCTTTCTGCTGTCCCTTCGGTTTTGGGGCAGCCTGCGCCTTCTCGTTGCCACCTTTCCGCGGGGTGCTTTGGCGGACGCTGCGACGTTTACCGGCAGGTTCTTTCTTGCTGGTACCCACTGGAACCCCATTGGCGCGGCCACCCTTTCCTCCTCCATCCCCTTTTGCTCCCTGGCTCCCTTGCTTTTTACCAACCCCTTCACTTTCGACCTTCACCTTACGCGCCTTAGGTTTGCCCGATGCTTCGCCGCGCACAGCGTCAACTGCCCCGCGTTTTCGGGAAGGGCGAGTCCGGCCCCCCTCCTTCCCTGTACCACTCACCCGTCTGCCACGCCCACCCCGTCCCTTCACTGGCGCCACATCCTCCTCCTCCTCCTCCTCCTCCTCCTCCTCCTCCTCCTCCTCCACTGCCTC